CGTACAAACAACCTTTCTAAATCATTGTTTATCATTGGTCCCATTATTCAATTTCCCAGAGAGACCCTACAATCCTTGGAGTTTTAAATATGAGTCCACCAAGTCACATTCAAGATAGTAAGATGGCCGCTATCATGAAGAACAAAGATTGCCAAATGACCTACAATTCAACCATGGCTGCTCCTTCCAACAGCGTAATTGACAAACCTCCTAGAGGCACTACTCCAAAGATAGACTACCTCAAATTTATCAAGATCAATGATCCAGTGGAAGCAAATGAAATTCTTGATATCCTCAAACCCCACAGAATTTGAGATTATCATAACTTTCACAAAACTGAAGGTTCAATACTGAACCAGATTTAGTAGGGTAAGGTATTCCGGGTAAGAGTGATCAGCAACTTAACTTGACAACATTGATAGGTTTGATGAGAATCTGGCCAACAAGGGACAAAAAGGTAATGAACAATCTGATAGCTTGATTTTGAGGAGACTTGCTAATCATCTTCCAAAACTATGATTCAATCTTTAGACTGTTTTTAATCCACCACTCAGATTTAATTGAATAGTATTGAAGGCTCTATAATCAATTAATTCAGTTGTGTAGCATACAGTTATTTTTATACTTGTTTTACTATCACTTTGGAATCAATCCAATCAATTCAAGAAGTTATGCAGGGTTGGTTTGATTTTTCCATTGGTTTTAACCTGGATTTGATTGAAGACTCCAGAATCAATTAAAGAAGTTGTTTAACATAGTTTCTATTCATCTTAGTGTACTTTGTTATTTTTTCTTGATTGTTTTATCTTAGAATCAAATCTCATATTACATACATTTCATTTTTTCAATCATTTCACTCTAGAATCCATCAATTTTCAAAGTTGTGTAATCTGTTCTTAGTAGTACTTTTTTTCTACTTTCAATCAACTAAAGACTTTTCCTAAAGAACTCACTTCTTCTGATAATCACAAGTAGAGTCAGAGGTAGGATGAGAGATGCTTAGATCTGATTTGAGCATCTTTGGTTGAGTTCATTGATAAGATATTGTAACCTTAAAATCATCTATTTTATTTCTTCAGAGTGAAGGGTAAATCTCATTTGATATTTGGTTGTATAGAATAATGAGTTCAGACGGATTCAATTGAAAAAGATTGGTTTCATTTGAACACTTCAACTTACAATACAACAAGCCAATGCCTGAGGAAAATCAAAACCAACTGCTTCTAAACAATTCTGTCAGTTCAATGAAGATCATTAGCTCTAATACAAACTGAGAAACAAAAACTATAAACAACCTCTTCAATACAGTAAGAGTTTTCATCAATCCTAAACATCTTCTTCAAAAAGATTCATGACCATCAATCCAATCCTGGTGGTAATGCAGAGCTATTATTTGCATAGAGAGGAGGAAGGAGTTCAAGGGTGATAGCATTGAATTCTTTCTCTCTAATTCTGTCTCTCTAATTGGTCATTCTGCATCTACAACTGAGTTCACAAGCATGCCAGTTTGTCTGAAGTGTGATTTGATAAGAGAAAAATAGTACTGGATTGGATTGAGTTCTGAGCAGTATGGTGGTATATATACCAGTACTATAACTTCACCAGCACTCGATCCTGACTGAAGGATAACCACAGAATGAGAATGTATACATAAACTGCTGCCTCACAGAGTTCATTGTGATGAACAGGGCAGGTGTGCTTGGTAGATGGATCACATTGCATCTGTGGAAGCTGACCAAATCAGAAAGAAGAACAATCAGGATGTAGACATGATCTCAGGATCAAATGTAGAATCATTCAATCACAATACCAGTCAAAACTCCAAGAACAATCCAAATCTCTCATGATTGACAATGATACTGCCCTCTTGGACAGTCAATGCCAGGAGACTGTTCAATCTGATCACAGGAAGGAGGGAATAGCCTCAAGGATTGTTTATTCAAACCCATTGATATACCTAGTGGCCAGCTTTTGAGAAATTGTCTACACATGGCAAATCCCTTTCACATATCAAGTTTTCATCTGAGTCAGGATGGCCGCCAAGTCAGAAATCCAATTGCATAAAGTAGAAGCAAGAAGCCTACCAATAAAACCAAGCATCTCAGCTGGTCCGTCCCACATCTTTACTATAAGCTGAGCCTTCCAATGGAGATCCGTTGTCACATGAGACATATTTGGTTTCTTCAGAGTGAGGTGCAAAGAATGATTGAGTTTGTTTGCACAAACACCCAACACTGGGAATTGCTTCAGTCTCTTCATAAAGCCTTCCCTGGATCTTGTCCAAAAAGAGTCCATGTGATTGATCAGCCACCAGCTTGGTCAGGAAGTCATAATCTTTGTTGTTATGTAGGGTCTTCTGTCCTCAAACTTGATATCTGTCAGCCCTGGGTACATACACATGTACCCAAAGACTAACTTGTAAATATAAATATTACTCATAAAAACCCAAGTACATGTACATATATCTTAGAAACATATGTAACATGTAATAAAATATGTATAAAACACTAATCACATATATACGTAATCAAGAACTCATATGTAACATATAAGATTACATACAAAAACAATAGTAACATCTCATAACTCAGTATCAAGAGTTAAAAATGCTTATATAGCATAAAACACTTAATGATTACTGAACATAACATTAAGTGTAAGTAATTATAAAAATAATAAAAATAATAATTATAAACCTAATATTGTAACACTTGTGTATATCACAATATTAGGTTTAGAGAGCTGAATATATAAACCAAAACTCAGTTCATCCTCAGAGAAGAAACCAAGTTTATACATACCACTTTCTAAAGAACCATCAAGAGTTCAATTAGAATAAAAATCAAGAGTATTACAAATGGTAATACTAGTGATTCATTCTATCTACCTTGATATTTCCTGACTAGATCCTAGTAAGTTATAACACTTCACTTCTGGATCCTCTACTTCCCCTAAGTAGTTTATATACTAGGTTGGTGACCTCCAAGTTAATAACCAATAGGTTGGTGACCTCCAAGTTAATAACCAATTAGGTTGGTGACCTCTAAGAGATAACCAAGATAGTGATCTTAATAATCACTCTTTATCCTGTTACTGAAAGGATACTGGAGAACCTTGGGATCCAGTTCTCATTGTTATATTAAAATATAAATTGAAACCTCTTCTTTAAGAGTTAACTAACTGTAGTCTGCCAGGATTTGTCCCAGCAGACTCTTAGTTGTTAACCTTCCACCCTATCTTCCCCCTTTTCATTATCCTCTTCTCCCTTGTACCTAGTTTAACAATTGAAATATAATAATCCTTATTATACTTCATAATAAACTACTCTCAGTACCACCTTTTAGTGAGTGTAGCCTCTCTCAAAAGAGTCACTACCCTCACAATATCCTTCAGGACCTCTGATACCTTGCTGGGTTTCTTGGTACAGATCCATCCATTGATTGAAAGAACACTTACCTTATGAAGATCATCACAAACCTCATTGATTGACTTGACCCCAAGGATTTTGATGACCACAAGAGCCTTGATTTGAGGCACTTACTTGATCACAAACAGCATCAAATTTTAGGGTAGAGGTGGAAGTTATTGTTGATGTGTTTTCTGGATTGAATTGAGGGTCATGAAATCAACTGGAATGGTGATACAATGGATACTGAGCCAAGATCTGCACAAAGCTTCTTGGTTTGTTGCTTAGGATCAGATAGCATCACAATAAAAGTCCAGCCCTTGATCAAAAGCTCAAGCCCCAATTGTGCACAGCTCCAGCAATTGTGATCCTACTCACAAATGCCAATGGGTCAGACCAGGAGCTGGGATTTTTGCTTGGATCAAACAAGCTTTCATGGAAATGCAGTATTGCATATCAAAAAGAAAAAAGAAACTGCATTATATATTTATATAGTATTGAAACTTCTTCAACTAAAATTAAAAAAACCAAACCTGCACTTGAAATTAACTACAAACCAAACTTACCAAAAAACAAAAAGCCACCCAAACCTAATCTAACCATTTCTTTTTGTTAATAATACGAAAATCTCAATTAAAACTTATTATAACAATAACATATAAGTATGATGTACAGCCCTTTGCAGAATTGATGACTTTGGAAAAAGAGAAAACACTTGAGTTTTCAATAAACCCTGCGAGTTTTTTTTCAGTTTTTTTCAAAAACTCATTGAGTTTTTCAAAAACTGAGCAAGCTCTTTCTCTTTTAGACTTACTGAGCCAGGTTTCCAAAAAAAAACTCACTGACTTATTGAAAAACTCGGCATCTTTTTGACAAAACTCAAGGTTTTTTATTTGAAAACTGGAGGTTTTTTTTCTTCAAAGTCATCAATTATGCAAAGGGCTGTAAATATAATAAAAAAAAGTTTTTTTTTCTGTTTTGATTTGATTACATTTCACAAATAACTGATTAACAAAAAAAAAAGATTAACAAAAAAAAATGAAACAAGTTTGATTTTTTTTTGGTTTCAAGAGGTTTTTGAAAAAAGTTGATTACAAATCTTAATCAATTCAAAAAAAAGTCACACTTCTCTTTGACCAAAATTATTCGCAGAAGAAAATAACATCTTCATTTTCTTCTTCTTCTCTAACATGTGTAAACTAAAATAATATAATATAATAAAAAAAATGATATATATATAACTTGTCTTCTAATACTTCTATAACATTGATAAGATAAAAAACAAGAAGAGATGAAAAAAACAATCAGAAAAAAAAAGCAGGGAATTCACTGGTTCACTAAGGATTAAAAAAAAACTAGTAATGGAAAAAAAGAAAAAAAAAACGATTAAACGAGAGTGTAAGAAAAATAATGTCTTTTTTTTTGGTGGCAGTAGTGGTAAGATAAGGCTGTTCTGTTAATCAAAAATAAACTAATGAAATGAAAAAAAAAAACACAACGAAACATAAGAGATCTTGATCAAAAAAAAAGTCTATCTCGAAACTCAAAACCATAAAAGTTCAAAAAAAAAGAAAGCATGAAAAAAAAACCAAGTTCAAGAAACTTTTTGAGCCAAAGGAGAACTAGTGATCGGTTGATTACCAATCGAATCATCAAACTTAAAAGGCGAAAAAGAATGAGGTACAAAGTTATACGAGTTTCGATCAACAATCACCACTTCATGAGCCGAAGCAGGTAATCTAGCTTCGATCGGATTCAAAGAAGAAGGTGTAGTAGGTAACGAATTCGAACTACGTTTACTGAAATTCTGACTGATCATCGAACCCGGTGTGAAACTTAAATCAGGTGAAGAGTTTTTCGAAACCAATGAAGAATGTTGACTCAGAGTAGGTGAACTAGATTTGTTTAGATTACTACTCGGTAAGGGTGGTGGTGGTGGTGATAATAAACTTCGATTCTTTTGTCGTCTGCTTTGAACGGTTTGTAATGATTGTCGATGACTTCCTCCAGATCGATCGATTAAGATTTGAGGTGGTTTAGGTAGAGGTGAATACCAAACTCTAAAGAATTCAATCAATCTGACCGATGAGGCATCTAATCCTTCTTTAGATAATTTCCCTCGTAGTACATCATCAAAATTCGTCATGGTTTGATTTTGGTTTTGATTAGAATGGGATGAGTATTGATCTATTGATGATTTAGATGAATTTGGACTTTGATCAATCGTTAACTTTTGATAATATTCTCGTCTGTATTTGGTACCTGTTTCAAAAAGAAATCAACTTTAATTTTTCATTTGGTGTTATTTGACAAGATTTCAAACTCACGCGAGACGTTTTCAAGTAGATTGACTACTTCTTCCCATCCACCTCTAATCTTATCACCCACCATCATGCCTGTTTCCCATTTCCACTCAGTTTTCAACCTACAAGCCAAACTCACAAACCTAGCCACATCTTCTGCCAAACTATGAAACCATAATCAAATCATCAGAATCAAGTTGAGCAAAAGATCAGAGTAATAAACAAACTCACGTAAAACAAACAGGTTCCACCTTTTCCTTTCCTTTATCACGACCCGTGCCACTCGAAGAAGGTAATCGAGTTGATTTGTTCTCAAAATCAATCATCCATCGATCCTTGGGAGGTTCATCTAACCAATTCCCTAATCCATTTTCACCTGTTAATCCATCTCTGATAGCTTCATCAGCCGCCAATTCATTCATCAAGAAACCCCATCTGAATTCAGTCAAGGTGATGGGTGATCCTTCGGTATTGAGATGATGATATGGAGTATGAGACGGAATTGGAGTCAAAGGAGATAATCTAGGACCATGTGCACAAACTGCAAAGCGTCCTACATGACCTGAACTTTTACAAGCTTTCAAAACAATTGATTCCATAGCTTCAATACGAGATCTTTCAATCTCAGGTGGTAAAAGTTGATCTTGTTTTTCAGATTCTCGTCTGATGATTGATCTTGGCGTATCTTCCCTTGGAATCGGTTCAAAACAACAAATCACAGTATCTACTCTATAAGATTGCAAGACGTTTTTGATTTCAGCAATGGCCAATAAACGAGTACGATCGGCTCCTTGATCGACACTAGGTTGATCAGAGGTATTGATATGACTAGGTTCTGAACTAGTGGTTTGAAGCGTGTGACGTTTTCGAATGGGTTTGAATGATTTGAAACGATTGGAGGAAGTGGGCGAGATGGGAGGTGAAGTTGCAGTATGGTTTAATTGAACATTGCTTTGCGAGTCATTGGTTCTGTATTGAGTGGGTAATAAATCATGACTAAAGAGTGCTGAGATTGAAAAAGCATGAAAGAGTGAAGGACTGAGAGCCAAAGATTCGAGTGATTTACTGAATTTAGCATCGTGTTGATCGATGAGAGCTACTACGATATGTTTTGATCGGACGAGATCCTCTACAATCAAACGACCTATACCAAACCGAATGTTGCCTACAACTGCTACTACTCTACTAGGACCCCTAAGTGATGGACTGTTCGAAATGTGGGGTGAGGAGGTTTGAGGTGACGATGAAACTGAATAAGGGGTAGAAAGTGTAAGACTGGATTGATTCTAATGAAAAGGCAAGCCAAAAGAAGTCAGTAAAGGTAAATTCAAATATAGAGAAAGTAAGAAATCAACTCCACTTTAGAAAGTAATCTAGATCTAGGTCTGATAGAAAGAGAAGAGAAAAAGGAAAGAGGACGATTAGATTTAGACTTAGAATTGACATTAGACTGAACAGAAGGAACCAAAGACTGAGTGGATAATAAAGAATTAGGTAGTTGTTGTTGATTTAGATTAGTAGTCGAAGGAGGTAAAGAAGAATAAATCATTTCGTTGGATTGAAGTTGAGGTTGATTTGAAGTTGAATTTGAATTTGAATTGAATTGATGATTTAATTTTAGATTAGGTTTGAGATCAGTTGAAGATGGTAAAGAAGTAGTGATCAAAGTACAGTTTGAAGCAGAAGCAGGAGAAGCAGAAGCAGAAGAGAATGGTGAATGGTTTGAGAAGTGAAGATGATGGTGATAAGAAAGAGAAGTAGAAGAGAAGAGAGTTGAAGAGTAATCAGTAGGAGTACTACTACTAGAATGAGATTGACTGTTGTTGGTTAGATTGAAATTCAATGAAGTTGAAGTGATAGTTGAAGTTTCAGTTTCGATTTCAGCTTGAGTTTGGTTTTCAGTTATAATAATGCTACTGCTTGTTGTTGTTCTTGTTGTTGTTGCTGTTGATAATCTGTTTGACTTTAATGAAATCAAATGATGGTAAATTCGATTCAAGATTGGAATCGGTTCACTTGATTTTGGTAAAGAAGCAGAAGCAGAAGAAGAAGATAAATGATTTTCTGAGTGATGATGATGATTAGCTGATGATGGATTACTATTAGAATCGAATTGAAGGATTGGTTGATTGGTAGAAAGTTGAATTGGTTGAACATTCAAATTGAATTTCAATTTCAATTTCAATTTACCAGTACCACTACCACTACCACTAGTAGATGATGATTGATGAGATCTCTTGGATATCTTATCTTTCATCTCTTTCTCTTTCTCTTTCTCTTTCTCATATATCATAACTAGATAGATTTTCACTTTCAATCTTCAATCTTTAATCTCCCGCCTTCTATTAATCAAATAATAATATGGTAAATTAATCAAATACCTTAAAATTAAAATCAAGAAAAAAAAACACACACACACACACTGGATCGATGGATTTCAGTCTGATCTTTTGAGATTAATCTTGATTGATTCGATTTAGGAGTACTGAATTGAATCAGTTTTTTTTAATTTTCAGTCGAGTTTATAATTTAATCTTGTCTTTCTTCACTTCACCCCTTTTACGATTGTATCTATCTTCAAACCACAAAAGGTTGAAATCAGTCAGGAAACAGAGAGAGAAAGAGAAAGAGAGGAGAGATATCGTAGATTGTAATCATAGACAGATAGATAGACTGAAGTCAGTTAATCATCAAAATTACTTGGTTGATCGATCATCACATCACCTCATCCTCATCATCATCATCATCATTAACCTTAAATCAAACTTACACAAGAACCGAACCGAGACAGTCGAGAGTCTTGATGAACCAATCAAATTCGATAATCCATAATCAGTTTGGATCGTATGGTATGTAAAATGATGATCAAAGATCCATGATGATAAGAAATCAAAACAGTGTACAGATTGTAATAATCTGAATCGAAGAAATTATTCAGACTAAGCTCTTCTAGGAAATCGTTGGCTACAAAATCTTGTGAAACATAAAGAAAAGTTGTGGTTTTGAAATAGTCAGCTTAAAACAAAAACAAAAACTATTATAAATGACATAAACTGAAAATTTAGATCGTACAAACGAACATGAAGCCGGTGCACTTGATCCAAAAAGAACAATAAAGATGGATGATCAAGTTACTTTCAAGTTTTAAAATTGTACTCTTTCCAAAAAGAAACTTCGATATATCTCATTAACACTTGTCACTACTAGTGTCACCCTCACTTTTCTTTAAAATTCAATGCAATTCAATCAAACTCAAGATTTGGAAAAGATAAACTCAACCAAGTCCCACGCCGCGTCTCGCACGCTTCCACTTTCCGACCGTTTGCCTTAATTCGCCTCTCTGAGCACCGGTGGTCATGTGACTATGATGTACAACACTCTGAGTCTCAGTCTGAGATAGCATGGATTGATATGTAATTGATTGAAAAAAAAGCCGAGGAATCCGAGGAATCCCAGGCTTCTGAAGTTTGAGATTTGACCTGATTTTGCTAAGTTTATGCAGTATGTATGTATGTACCCCGGCAAGCTCCCTGAGAACCCGGGTATATATAATATGAGTTTAGAATTAAATGAAACCAAAGTTTGTCTTGTCAACTTGTGTATGTATGAAACAAGAATAAAATCCAAATTTTGGTTGAAAAAAACCAATGAATAACATATTTGGAAGAATAAACCAAAGTCTCCCAAAATTGAAAACAAATCAACATACATACAAACATATGAACTAAGAATGAGCTAAGGTGGGAAAAGTCTCAAGGTGTGCTCCGGCCGATATCCGGCGAGTTCAAGCCATTCCGACAACCGAACCGCCGGATTATCCGGCCACCGGATGATGTCAAAGGCCTTTCCGGTATCCGGATCCGTCGGATTATCCGACGGATATCCGGCTAAAAAACCGGGTCCGGGTCCCTGATAACACGCGGAAGCTGCGGTATCCGGCGTGTTCAGGCCATTCCGACAACCGAACCGCCGGATTATCCGGCCACCGGATGGTTTTAAAACCCTTTCCGACATCCGGATCCGACGGATGCTCCGACGGATATCCGTCGGATCTTCGGTTCCGGAGCACACCTTGAGAAAAGTCTGAGGGAGTGCTTCTCAGAAAGACAAAAAGATTTTCTCTAGAGGTACACATGTGTGTATGTATGTATGTATCAAACCCCAAACCACCTGAATCAATACCTTCAAGCCCCCCACTGGATCAACCCAAGACCATCACTCTAATCTTGGATGATGATATGCAAGTTGTAGCTGCAATTACACCCCAAAAACGGTCCCACAATGTAGTTGCAGGGCCTACAGACTTTCCAAACATACATAGAATATGATAAGAATAAAATGCACAAAATTCAAAAGTCAGGCTTCACACCCTGTGTACATGAATATATAAGGTATCTGTTGACAGTAAAAATCAGAATTTTGGCATATTCCTGGGATTGTTCTAGGAATGAAAACCAAAACATTTGAAGTTTTACCTATTGAGGTTCCCAGGGGGCTTTCCAGGGGCTGAATTCCCCCCTGCATGTTGTACATACAATCTCCAATATGAACTCTATGTAGGTTGGCTGCAGGGACAAAACATTGGAAGGAATCCTTATGTAATCCTTATGTCCTATCATGAGTAGTCAGATCAACCTGTGTTGAACCCTTTTAGCCAACTCTTCAAAGTGTGATCACACCAATCTTGTAGCATTGTACAAGCATCACAAGTTTGGGATTGTCTGCAACAGTGACATCAAGGTAATCTTGTGTAATTTTTATGCAGCTTGACTAAGATCAAGGACTTCTTTGGTTCTACATATAGTGAGAAATTGGTGATAAGTCCCTCAACTTAGGAGTGCTACATGTGCATGTTAGACAAACTCAACTTCATGTAGCTTAGCAGGTAATTGGTGGGAATCAATGATTCCACTTACAATATGAAGAAGGAACCAGTGCATTTGTGACTGAGAGTTTGGCAGAAAACCCTTGGTGTACTCACAGAAAAGAAGACCACACTACACCAATCATTAATTCACCACTGAGTTTAAAAAATCAAAAATGTAGAAAAATATCACCAATGCAGGGGAGGTCAGAAAAAATTGAAAAAACAAGGGTGCAATCCATGTGTGTTTCCCCCTCATTCTGCATATTTTTGAAAATTTGAACCTTTGGTTTTGAAGATCTCTCAAATCAAAATGCTCACAGGGGATATTAGGTCAGAAACTCAAATTTGGTCCAAAACTAGCAAGATTTGGGCAAAAACCTACAATGACCAAAAATATGAGGATTTTTGTTAAATCACCTGAATACTTGTAATCTATGAAAGCCACGAAATGGGTCTACAATGTTGATTAAGGTGCTGAAGCCATTGTAGTAATGATTCCTATGCTCATATAGGGGTCCTGCTGTGTATGGCTCTTGATATATCTCACCCATTCTTTGAGACACAGAACTGCTTTTTTCCTCCACATCTTAAAGGCACAATGTGGCATTCATAATGTCAAGGCACTTCATGTGTTGGATCAAAATTGATGATTTCATTTGTCTTGAAAGGTCACTGTCTCAATACATGCCAGTTTTGGACACAATTTGGGTTTTGGACATTACATACACTGTGGTTGTAAAAATATGAAGAAATATGTTAGATGATTGGAATGTACCAAGGACCAAACCAATATTTTTTCCTATTTTTCTGACCCCTCCCAGCTTCTCTATAATTTTCTATGTTTTATCAGTTTTCTAAACTCAGCAGTAAAGTTTCAATTTGGCATAGTGCCAAGACATGCAGATTTGACTTGTTGAATGACAGCAGTTGAGACATTCAGGGACTTTGTTCAGTTAGCTAATATGCATGAATTGTCAAGCACATTCAAGATGTTCAAATGAGACATTTAAACAATGCACATCACACCACCAACATAACTACTTTGGATTTTTTCAAGTGCTAAGTTACTATATTGCATATTACACTGACTGAACAAGTAAAGAGAATGCAGGTAAAAGTACGCCTTAAGCCAAGCAGCCATCTATTCAATACACAAAGTATGTTCTGTCTTTTAAACCTTTTGCGTTCATTTATAAACTTTTCCCTTTTTTGAAAAAAGGCTTTCATCCAATAAAAGATAAGACCATTCAGTGACACTGCCAGGTGTTTGATCTGTCTATCATTGTTTACCAATCTTGACTTTGTTCTTTTTTCTGAATGAGCAAAGAAGAGAGTATTCAGTGACAATCATACATAATAAGGAAATGGTGTTGGTTAGAAAAAAAGTTTTCTATGCGGGCCTTACAACCGACCAAGTACTGATTTTCACTGCCCAATCCCGTTGCAAAACAATTTGACTTCACATTGCAACTGCCCTGGACTGCCCTGGATGTGCCATGAGGCGATCTGTTAATTACCTCAAAAAAAGCTTCACAGTGGTTCTGAATGTGATGGCTCAATTTGTCATGGTCAGTTGTTCCTCATCCACTGAACACCCCTGTCAGTCCTCACTGCCATTAGTTTCTATAACATTTTCATATGTCACATCTAAATACTGTGCTTTCCCAGCTGTGTGTTGAACTTGCCAGGCCTTCTTTGAACCCATTAGAGGTTGTATTCAGTCATCTCCTTGCCCAGTGGCCTTACCTCCAAGCCAAGGCTTAATTTCATCCAGTCAGGCTGCTTTGAATTCCACTCCTATGCCTTATGCTGCACCTTCCATGTTGGCAGCTCCTCATGCCGGTTCTGCTTGTAATAATGACTGATTTATGAAAGGTCTGACAAATGGTGCAGAGCGCTTATTCCCAAGGTAGAGGAGGGCAAGAAGCATACACATTGGAAACAGTTGTTGAAATCGGAGTGATTAATAATGTATGGTGGGAGACACCAAAGATAAGGAAAAGCCCGAATAATCTTGAAATTTTACGCAATGTGGTGAGCAATGTTTGCGGCCAAGCAAGAACCTCTTTAGAAGGCTTCTTTTTATTTCATTCGAAGGATCATAGGGTTAGACTTCAAATTCCGCCTTACACTTTAATCAGAAAAGTTGAAAAAAAAGATAGAAGTAGAAAAAAAAACTTTGAGAAGAACTCTATAGAAGCTCTATTCAACTTCTCATGTGCATACTATCTTACAATCAATGGCACTGTTAGAGTAAAGCACAACATGTCTTCTTTGTCTCGCTTACTCGGCTCAAATGGATGCCTTTGTTACAAAAATCATCCACTTAACTAAGCACGGCGCGGTGTTGGAATTGTGAAACTCACCAACAAGAATGCTGTTGGGGCTTT